GCTCCCTGACTGGGGTGTGAGGGATGGCTGCCGGGGTTGGAGCCTGTTGCTGTCTCTGCCCGGGATCTCCTGGTGCTGGCGATTCCACGGGAGCAGCCGGTCTTGCTTTGCCTGGCCACGGGACACCCTCCAGGGTACCCGGCGTGGGGCATGGGGATGGCATGTGTGACAGCAGCGGCGTTGTCACCCCTAAAAATGCCGCCAGGCAGCATGGAGCCATGGGGAATGGCTCCTGCCCCAGTCACATTCCCAAACATCATGACCACAGGGTGGACCCTGTCCTCTGCAGGACCTCCCTGAGTTGATGTGGTACCTGGGATCCAACTCTTTGCCCACTGAGAGCTCCACCTCCACAGCATCCCCTGTCCCTTTGGGTCTACCTCGTCCTCACGGAGGGAGCTGGGGATGAGAAGGAGCCTCATGATCCCAGGGTGCTGCCTGCACCATGAGGAGCTCTGCCCGGAGGTGAACCAGCATCACCCGCATCTCCCCATCCCTGCCAGCAGCTGTCCTGGTGCTGGTGGTGGTGGAGCCCTGGCACCATCCTCCAGCTGGGCTACCCCATCACCTCTTGCTCAACCACCCAGAAAAAGCAGTTTCCTCTTGACAGTTTCTGAGACCTATGGGATGGAGGAGGCTGTCCCAGGGACACCCCTGCCTCACCAGAGCCATGAGGCTGTTGAGGGTGCCTGGCCCCGTGTCTCCCAATAGCAGGAGCTGGCCAGGCTCACTGTGGTGTGTACAGCCCACCTCGTCTCACCTACCAAATGCTGCTCTGCTCATGCGGGTCCCAGCTTTCCCTCCTTCCCACCATGTCCCCCGGTGGAAGCAGGCATGCTGGAAACACACGGCAGCGTGTGCTGCCCATGCAGGTGGAGAGCATCTCGGGCTCTCTCTCAAAACCAGACCATGCACCAGCAACACAGGGCATGGGTGTTCTCCCCTTGGTGCAAGCAGGCGGCCGCTGGTGCCGTGCCCAGGGTCACCATGGGGTGCCTGTGTGGGCTGCAGTGCTGCGGGCATGCCGGAGGGTGAACGTGCTGGGACCTCTCCCTGTGCCACCCACCTGGATGCAGGGGATGGGGGCCCTAAACCTGTCCCTTGATTAGGGACCATCCCTCACGGGTTCCACCCAGCCTGATGGTATCTTTCAGATCTGCCTTGTGTTTTCCAGCCACTTCTCCTCTGATGGCTCCTTGATTTCCCGGGAGCTGAGGGCCCCCCGTGTCCACTCCCTGTGCTTCAGAACAAGAGATTCGTGGCTGCTACAGCATGGTACAGGCTTGCTTGTTGTGCTCCAGAGTTCATAACGCCAGCCTGACAGCCCGGGCAGCCAGGGCAGACATGAACAAGACAGACAAGCCCAGTCCCTCTGCCAAGAAGCACGTGCGTCTTCAGGAGAGGGGAGAGTGGCTGGACGGTGCCTGCAGCCCCAGCCCTGCGCTGCCCATCTCAGCCCAGGTGATGGGTACTGGTGGCACTGCTCATCCCCAGGCCTTGGGCTCCCCCAAACTTCCTTCCTTCAGCCCAGCCCTGCCAGCCTGCTGCCTGCCAACCTTTGCAGATGCCAGGTCTGAGTGTGGAGACAGCTTTGACTCCCCCCTAGCCCAGCCCAGGACAAATCTAGACACTGTCCTTGTTCCTCAGCCCCCCCATCTTCTGGAGTCTTTACCTGGCCCCTTTCTTCATTCTATGTTATTCCTTGGCTGGGCTTTCCTTCGTGTGGGGTGGTTTTAACTGACAATGTGGTAGGTGGGATGGGCTGCCCTCCTGCCCTGAGATGGCAGAGAGTCAGACAGGGACCCCTTTGCCTTGCAGGAGGGGCTCCAATGTGTCGCTGATGTTGGACATGAGCTCGCTGGGGAGCGTGGAGCCCATCCAGCCTGTCTGTACGCCTCGGGACATCACACTGAAGTTCCTGAGGACATCCAGCCACGTGCTGAGGAGGGAGGAGCTCCAGCAGCGTGCCCAGAGCCTGACGCAGCTCCAGGAGGAGTTTTCGGTGCGATGCTCCTTTTCCCTCTCCCTCTTCACATGAGGGATGGCAGGGCCGTCAGGGGGGACTGGCAGGGGTGGACATCCCCAAAGCAGGCTCCAAGCCCAGCTGTGCCCCACAGCACCAGTGGCAGGGCAGGCGGTGTGGGAAAAAAGGGTTGAAGGGTGCCCTGGGTATCCCCTGGCTGCCCACTCTCTGGTGTTCAAAGTCCCCCTTGCATCCCTGGAAAGCCTGTCCTGACCTCCCATCCTAAGCTCTTCTCCCAAGGTGGCATCTCTGGAAGGTGTCCCACAACATCTGTGGTAAGGACAGGGCTCATCCCAGGAGCTGACATCTCTGGTGATGCTGCTAGATCCCTGGGTCAGCTTCTCATTGCCTGAGGGACCAGCTCTGCCATGCCGAGGGGACACAAGCAGCAGCAACAGGGCTTTCCTCATAGTTGTTCTCTCCCCCTGCAGAAAATCCCACCCAACTTTGTCAGTCCGGAGGAGCTGGAGATCCCTGGACGTGCCTCCAAGGACAGATACAAAACCATCCTCCCCAGTATGTGCCACTGCATCCCTTTGCCTCACATTTGTCCCGGTGCCACATGCAGGGATGGGGAGGGTGTGTGCTCACAGTTGTTTGTGCATGGGAGAGGGGTGACCCAGAGGACCTGGCACTGGGGTGGGTGCTCCTGGGTGCTCTTGGTGTCCCTGCTGCGCTTGTTGCAGCTCCCTGTGTTGCAGGAGCTGGGTGCTGTGTCGCAGGGGGTGTACACTGTGTTATGGGGTGGTACATGGGGTAGAGCTACTCCTTGCGCTGTATTCTCAGGGTGCGCAGCTCATGACAGCCCAGCTTGGGTGGGACTCACAGGTCCCAAGGGCATGTCAGTCGGGGTATAAAGGCTGAGAACATTATATGAGGGCTCATATGGGCTCTAGTAGGAAGACCCTGAGGGGTCATTGTCTGGCGAGCGAGTTACCCCACACGCTGACTGTGGTACCAGCAGGTTTGGGCACAGCTGACTGCACCTGGCATCGCAGCGAGGGTGAAGAGGGGCAAGAAGGGGCCAGAGGGACGGTGCAGACAGCTCTGACTGTGGCATGGAACTGGGAAGACCCAGTCTCCAGCCTCTGGAGCTGAGGCTGGGAGGATGGGCAGGGTGAGGCTCTGAAAGATTGTCCTGGGGTAATGCCTACTGTCTCTTTCAGATCCTGAGAGCCGGGTCTGTCTCAGGAGGGTGGCAAGCCTGAAGGAAGACAGCTACATAAATGCCAACTACATCACGGTGAGTGTCCTGCCTGGTTGGAGAGCGGGTTGTCTCCCTTGTCCCGCAGTCCACAGCTCACAGAGCATCCATCTGCAAGCTCCTCAGTGCTGCAGATGCTACACTGGACTGTCACCCACTGTCCTGTGGCCGCCCTGGGATAACAGTCTGAACTTGCCACCCCTTTCCGAGCTGGAGAAATGCAGTTCCATCCTCATAGGGCAGACACACTGTCCTTTTTGGTGGGAAAGTCTCATGAGGTGGCTGCTCTTGGCTCCCTCATAGGGGCTTCTCCATCTCTTCCTCGTGTCCGTTGTCTGGCAAGGGCACAAGAGGCAACCTGTGTCCCAGAGCATCACAGCTTGGTGCTGTTCAGCCCTTACACATCCAGGAATTTCCATGCAGGGGGTTGTTGCAATTTCCCAAGAACGAAGCTAATGAAAGGGAGGACATGGCTTAGCTTTGACACCTGATGGCTGATGGGGTCCCTTTCCAGAGACTGAGAAAACCCGAAACCCAAGGGTGTCACTTCAGGCAGCCTGGTTTATGATAATCATCCTCCTGTGCAAATGACCCCTTCCAGGCTGCAGTCCCACTTGTGCTGAACCATACGTCCCCGTAAAACAGGCTCTTGTGTCAGCCAGGTGCCAGCTTTACTGGTTGGTAGGCTTCTTTCCAAGCAGTTCATCTCATTTCAACATCCTTCCCCTTGGGACAGGCTGCTGGGAAGTGGAGGTGAGTCTGCAGCTGCTCTGGGTGCAGGGCAGAGAGGAGAGCATGGGAATGGGGGACTCAGAAAAGCAGCCTACTGAGCAGGACTCGGAGCACCTCCCAGCATCTCTATTTCTTTGGCAATTTTAGACTGGGGGAGGAAGTGACCGTGGAGGCAGAGGATGTCTGGAGCTGTGAAACAGAGCCTGGGGCAAAGGCAGGACAGGGGTCTGTGCCAACCACCCCTCAAGGTGTCGCACTGCTGGGCACTGCCATGTCCCCTCCTGAGCCTGGGGGGGAGCCAGGGCTGGTGGGACCCAGCTGGGTCTATCCCAGCTCCCAGCCAGAGCGGAGCTTGATGACTTCTGCTGGTCCTTGGGGAAATGCCTCCAGTGAGAAGCGCCCTCCCTGCATGAGCTCTGCCTGGCCAAGGGGTCCATCATGCCAGCTGTCATCACACCAACAACCTGGGGATGCTTGCAAGCACTTTGGGTGCACGCGGGTTGCTCCATGGGCTTGCTCCTGGACTGTGGAACTGAGAGGATGGAGAGATCAGGTCTATAAAAGCATTTCAAGGACAGGTTTAGTAGGAAATAGCCTGTGTGGCTCAGCCTCTCAACTGTAGAGGAAGATAAGCACCATAAGAGCTGGGCTGGCCTGGAGACAGGCTCCCCTCACATCAGGATCACTGATGGACCATGTGCTCAGCAGGGCTACACTGGGAGGCCCCGGGAGTATATTGCCACCCAGGGACCCATGCTGAACACCGTGACTGACTTCTGGGAGATGGTGTGGCAGGAGGAGGTGCCCCTCATCGTCATGATAACCAAGCTCCAGGAGCACAAAGAGGTACCGCTGTCCCTCCCCTGGGCTGGGCACTGCACCCCAGCCAGGAGCAAAGGGTGGAGTGGGGTAATAACAACAGTAAAGGGCTGTGTGAGACCAAACATGGGGTCTGAGTACCCACTTGCTTTCTCTGCTGTGCTGTCAGAGGGTAGCCCTGATCGATCACGGATGGAGGAGGAGAGCCACACGGCTGCCACCTTGGCCCCGTCCAGCAAAGCCTCTCCTCCTTACGTGGCCTCTCATGCTCTGGGCATGCTTTCCCAGCTGGATAACAGGATAAAGAGCCTAGGGCAACCCCTGGGAGAGGGAGTGGAGGCAGAAGTCCCTCTGGCCCCGAGCAGCTCTCCTCCTGTGCTGGGAGCTCTCACCAGTGGATCCAGGCTGGGATGGGAGCTGGCAGCACTCTGCCCTGCTTGGCGGCCACCCTGTGCCTTGGCTGCGATCCCCGGCTCCCCGTCAAGGAGCACCAGCCTGGGGGAACTCACCCTCTCTTTCCTGGCCATGTCCTTCCTCCCTTCTCTCCCTGGCTGGCACAGCATCCCCGTGCCCTCCGCCGGCAGGCTGGGCCCTCCTGGGTCGGCAGGACAGGGACTGGCCCAGGCACTGCTCCTGTTGGGCTGGGGAGAGCCGTGCAGCCCATCGGGTTTGAAAGCCATATGTCAGGCCACGGGAAAGGGTTCAGGGAGAGGAGATGTGGGGAGAGGGATCTATCCTGTCCGTAACCTGTGTTTTGTGTCACTCCACATCCACCTTCCCCGCTCCTCCACACCTCCCCAAGAGATGCCCCTTCCAAAGAGCACTGAATAAAGTACAGCTCAAATGTCCAGTGGGTGCCTTGAGCATCTCCATGGCCACAAACCCTGCCTCGTTCTTTCAGAAATGTGTCCACTACTGGCCTGAGAAGAAGGGCACCTACGGCCCCTTCACCATCTGCGTGCAGGGGGTGAGCGAGTACGTGGAGTACATAGTCCAGGATCTCTCCATCCAGGTGGGTTCGAGCTCCATCCAGGGGCCAGAGGGGGAGCCCGGCAGTGCCCCCGACACCCCCGGGATCTCTAGTGGGACAGTAGTGCTGTGTGACAGGAGAGCAGAGGGCTCATGGCTCAGAGAGCTGGGTCTTATGAGCCCCTGCCAGAGGAGGGGTCTGAAGAGCTCCTGCCTGCCCAAGAAGGCTGAGAGGGAGCAGGACCCAGAGGGGGAAGGAGAGGGGGTCAGCTGGGAGAGCTCTATTAGTCCTTTACTGTTTGCACTGTGCCACTGGGCTCTGCCCCATGGGCTCTTTGTAGTCACCCTGGCCTGACACTAGCCAAAAGGATCTCGCTGGCTTTGCCTGGACTATGGGGACAGTATGGGGACACTCTGTATCTGTTCCCATCTTCTGGTACGGGACACTTCCCAGTGTCCCTGGCCCAAGGGTTCCTCCTGGGTGTCTGTCAGAAACTCAAAAGAGGGATTCGAGAGGAGGCAGATGAAGATGGTCACAGGCTGCCTGGCCTCTCCTTGGGCTTGACTCCACGCCTTCATTTGGCCCAGCCCAGCCAGTCTGTGCTCCCACATCCTGATTTCTCTTTCTTCTGTGCTGGAAAAGCTTGAAGGTGAATGCCGCCAGGTCAAACACATCCTCTTCCCTTCCTGGCCGGACCAGCAGACGCCTGAGTCAGCCAAGCCCCTGCTGCACTTGGTGTCCAAGGTGGATGAGACTCTGCAGGCTGCAGCCAGCCCCGGGCCCATCGTTGTACACTGCAGGTAGGAGCTTTCCCCTCACCTGAGCCCCTGTGTGTCCCCCACCTTGGGGTCAATCTGCTAATGCCAGAGAGGAAAATCCCACCCGTAAATGCTCATGAGCTGGTCCCACTGTGGCAAAGAAATGTCAGGGCACGGCACCCCCATAGCAGAGTTATTCAACCAGCAACTCCTGTCCTGGCATCAGGATTGTGGCATTACCATGGTGCATACTGCCCTGTGAAGAAATCTGGTTTGCACCTGGGTCTGTGGATGGCAAGATGGGAGCAGGAGAGCTCTGCAGGGTCAGGACCCAGCCATCAGACCCAGGGCAGGTCCACAGCTCAGGCTCCTGCTGCCTCTGCCACTGCGCATGGGCTGGGGCTCAGCTGTAAAGCCGTTTTTCAGGGCAGCCCTCCTGGAGGAAGTGGCCTCTGTGTATCTTCTCTCACTGCTAAGTGAATTTGTGGACAGTGGAGAAGAGCACATGGTCATCCCTGTGCAACACACTCGGTGTGCGATGCTGCAGGCTGGCTCGACCCAGGGCAAACTGCTTGGTGCCTGGGGTTAAGAGCACAACTGGGAGGCGAGGTGAAGGGGCTGCAGAGACCCCTGCACTGCGCTGGGATGGGAGCACTGGCTGGGTTTGTGCTTGCAGAGTGACCTCAGCTGGGCTGTGCAACATGGCAAGACTCCCTTGCCATGGCTGAATGATGCCAGCCCAAGTCTGTTGGTGCCTGGCTGGGAAAGTTGGTCTGGCAGCTGGGACTGGGACCCCAGCATCCCTCTAGGAAAAAATAATGGCAGCAAACCAACCTGGGAGTATGTCCAGCTCAGATTAAGGTCCAGGCAGTGGACGTTGTCAGTGCTCAGCACAGCCGTGTCTGTCCCGCAGCGCAGGCATCGGCCGGACAGGCTGCTTTATCGCTACCAGGATCGGATGCCAACAGCTGAAGGAGAAGGGGGAGGTGGATATCCTGGGAATCGTGTGCCGCCTCCGCATAGACAGGTAGGTGCTCAGAGCAGGCTGCTCCCTGCACAGTCCTGCTGGCTGCCAGCCTGGGAGGAGGGATGCGGGAGGGACATGGGGACAGGCATTGCGAGGGGGCGTGGTACAATTTTTGATGGAAACCAAAAGGGTTGCTGAAAGGTGACACAACAAGTTAATGCCCAGTGCTGGGCAGGTTTTGCTGTCAGGGCTATTGTAGCTTTGGGGACCTGAGGATGTGACGGAGAGGAAAGCGGCTCTGAATCTGGCAGCTGGTCTGCTCCTTCCAACTCAGACACTAAATTCAGAAACTCTCAATTTTGCTGCTTTTCAGGGAGAAGTACCAGTAAAAATTAGAGCCAAATCAGTTGCTAATCTGCATTTTGAACAGCCCAGCAATGCTTCTGAGCCCAAATACTCTTTGGGCAGCACTGGTGCCTATTTCAGATGTACCTAATTGTGGCAGGTGAATCAAGAATATTTGTGTCCCAGGAGCAGGGAGCTGGGGACGGGGTTGTGGGCTTCAGCGAGCTGTCAGAAGGACCTGCCTTTCCCTTGCAGAGGTGGGATGATCCAGACGAGCGAGCAGTACCAGTTCCTCCATCACACACTAGCTCTCTACGCTTCCCAGCTGCCGGAGGCGGGAGGCCACTAGCACAGGGCTCCCACCAGGCTGCTGGCACCCCGCTCCCGCCTCTCCTGGACCAGCCAAGGGACACCTCCACCAAAACCCCTCCTGCTGCTGGCGGGCCACAGAGCAGCAGCATGAGCATCCCTGGATGGGCACAGCCGAGCAAACCCATGGGACGGTGACCTCGCGACCCTGGGGACAAGCAGGGTTTGGCAGGTTCACATGAGCAGTTCAGTGGGTGCTTGAGGTGGCTGTTGCTGCTGGCTTGAGGCAGATTTCACCCCTGGAAAGAAGCTTTGGCTTTTGAAACATGCAACATTTTATCCTCAACCAGAAGAGCAAGCTGTGCAGAGGAACTGAAGCTGAGTGAGTGCTGGGAGCACGGTTTGCCTTTTAGCTGCACAGAAATGTTTATCCCATTAGATGTGGAGCTTTACCCTGCAAATAAATAGAACCTCTCTCCTGATTTCTTATCATCTGCGGGCAGAGGCTGGGCTTGCTCCGAACACACGCTGCAATGCTCTTCTTGCTAAAGATGCACCTTAGATGATTTAGTACCAAAGGTGCACAGTTGGTTGCCTTCGTTACGTGGCTTGCTTTCCTCTCCACCTTCAGCCAACACCTTCTCAACAGCCTTACAGTAGGGGAGATTTCTAAGTCGTCTGCAGCTTTGCAAGCAGCACGTTCACAACTGCCTTTTGTTACAGAAGGGTGGGGGGTTTGCATTCTTGGCTTTTTGCTGAAATCAGAACAAATTAATAATTGGGTTTTGTTCAGGGTTCTTTTCACTGATAAATTCAGAGGGGGAAAAAGGAAGAAGAGGAAGAAGCATTTTGGCTCAAAGCATGGAGATAGAAATATTCTGTAAAATATTTTTAACTGAAGCTGGCCTTCAGCTGATGGGCGTTTCACACCCTGTTGGGCAGTGAGGACTGACAAGGAGCCGGGGTCTGCCCAGCCTGTGCCCGCCCATGCCCACAAGCCCTGGCACAGTCCGGTCGGTGGATGAGATCCAGGGAAAAAAGGGTCAATCCTCTTCCTGAGAGAGTCTGAGCTTGCCTCTGCTCCTGGAGCATCCCCAGATCAGGGTTGTATGTGTGTGGACCCCCCTCCACTGCTCTGAAGGTCCCCAAAATGCAGTTGAATGGCTGCCCAAGGGTTTTGCACTGTGCCTGTTGTTCAGGCTCTGTGACTCTCTTGGGAGGAGAAATGATTGAATAAAAAGGGAAGTTTCGTCCTTAACTCTGCAATTCTGACTTGTCATCAGCCCATCAGCCCAGGAAG